TCTTTCTAGAGATCAGCTGACCTGATTGTATTCCCAGGTGCTCATTACAAAGCCTGTTTCTCTCTGTGTCTCTGTCTCCCCAGTGAAGCAAATTCTAGTCTACAGTCTGCAGTCTCCAGAGCCCAGGACCAGAGCAGAGCTTTTGCACTGTGAGTGTTTTAAAAGTACAATACTTAATAATTTATCCAGGAGCCTTTTCGGTAACGAGCCCTGTTCTTTGCCTGCTGGGATTATTCGGTCCATTTGTAGGCTTAATCAGAACAGTTTTCGAACCCCATTTCAATGGACTGAAATCTCCTTTACCCCAGTTAACTGCAGAGTGACGCCCCCTCTCCTCTCCCCCAGACTCCCGTGAGCTCCAGCCAGACCCCGACACCGTGAACCCCAGGCTGTGCCTCACCGAGGAGAGCAGGAAACTGACCGCGACGAAAGAGCTCCAGCCGTACCCCGATCACCCCAACAGATTCGAGTCCTACTGCCAGCTGCTGTGCCAGGACGAGCTGTCCGGGACGCGCAGCTACTGGGAGGTGGAGTGGGGCGGGAGGCAGGCGGATATAGGGGTCAGCTACCGAGGGATCGCCAGGAAAGGACTGGGCTCCCAGTGCGCCCTGGGGCACAACGCCCAGTCCTGGAGTCTGACCTGCAGCGCGGAGGGGTACGCCCTCTGGCACAGCGATGTGGAATCGGTCGTGACCGCGCCCCGCTGCGCCAAGATCGGGGTGTATGTGGACCACAGGGCTGGAACTCTGTCCTTCTACAGCGTCTCTGGGGACACAGCGACCCTCCTGCACAGAGTCCAGGCCTCCTTCACAGAGCCCCTCTTTCCTGGGTTTGGCCTGGCTAACTATGGGGACACTTTAGTCCTGTGCCAGATGTAGTAACTTCCCCTGCCCACACAGACACACTGGTACCGAACCGTTCAGCACCAGGGTCCGAGCATAAGCAGAGACCCCCTGGGCCCGGCCAGTACCTGAATCCTCAGTCTGGCCCAGTGAGCCCGGCCGCAGGGCAGGCTGAGCCCACTAGTGTGAAGAGACCGCGGGTCACAGTGACCCCTGCTGGAGAGTGCTGGTGTGACAGGAGCGTGTGGCTCTGTCCTGCCTAGTCTGGTCCCCAAAAACCGACTTGACTTCGGAACGACAGGGCTGTTTGTCCGGCTTCTTCCCCTCCAACTGTTCTCTCTTCCGTTTTCCGTGTGTCTCCTGGTCCCGTTGAGTAATTGAAGAGCCAGAACAGTCTCTCACTTCTCCCCAGACAGGAGGGGGTTGTTGAAGGCGGTTTTCTGTTTCTCTCTCAGGCAGTTTGTACCTGTGATTCTGTACTGCGGTTCTGATGGCCTGGTCTGTTACTCTCAGGTAAATACAGATTAATTAACAGAAATAAACCCATATGTCTCCTCTCCTTTAATCTGAGCAGCCCCCTCTCTGCCTGCACTCAACTCAAGACCACACCTCCTGTAAACCACACCACCTGTAAACCACACCACCTGTAAACCACACCCCTTTCATTAACCACACCCCTGCCTCTCTAGGCAGTTCCAGGAAGTCACACAGAGATAAGTTTCGTTCCTGCTGAAGCAGACTCTCAGAATCTCTCGCACTCCGCGCTCTGTGCATTTCTCTCTGCAGTAAAATGGCAGAAGGTGGAATTGTACTGAATCAAGACCAGTTCAGCTGTTCAGTGTGTCTGGACATCCTGAAGGATCCAGCGACTCTTCCCTGTGGACACAGTTACTGTGTGGGCTGTATTAAGAGCTGCTGGGATCTGGATGATCAGACTGGAGTCTACAGCTGCCCCCAGTGCAGACAGACCTTCACCCCAAAGCCTGTTCTGTGCAGAAACACTGTTCTGGCTGAAGTGGTGGAGAAACTGAAGGAGACAGGGCTCAGTGGTCCTCCTGCTCCCAGTCCTGCTGGCCCTGGAGATGTGCTGTGTGATGTCTGCACTGGGAGCCAGGTGAGAGCTGTGAAGTCCTGTCTGGTGTGTCTGGCCTCTTACTGTCAGACTCACCTCCAGCCTCACTGTGAAGCTCCTGCCTTCAAGAGACACCAGCTGGTCGAGGCCACAGGACAGCTGCAGGACAAGATCTGCTCCAGTCATGACAAACCCCTGGAGCTATATTGCCGTACTGATCAGAAGTGTGTTTGTCTGATGTGTACATTTGATGAGCACAGAGGCCATGATTCAGTCTCCGCTGCAGCAGAGAGGACTGAGAAGCAGGTGAGGACTCTGTTACTGGGTGTAGAGGGCTATTACGAGTGTGATGGGGCTGTTGTGGGAGGAGTAGTCTGTGACTTGATTAACAGCCTGTGCAGAGCTTCACTGCTAGAAAAGTATTTTTTCTCCCTCACTGGGAAGTCAGACTGCTACCTTATTATTTCAGAATTTCAATCCAATGACAGTATTTACAAACACCGGATGTATGAGGCAGGCCTGCACAGAGGTCAGCATTGCTGCCTCCCAGCCCGGAGGCCCTGGGTTCAGCTCCTGGGGTGCTGTCTATGTGGAGTCTGCATGTTCTCCCCGTGTTCATGTGGGTGTCCTCGGGTTGCTCTGGTGTCCTATCACAGTCCAAAGACAGGCTGCCTGGTGAAATGGTTCTGGAAAAATTGGCCCCAGTGTGTGTGCGTGTCTGTGTGAGAGTGAGCGTGTCTGTGTGAGAGTGTTTCTGTGTGTGTGTTCCCTGTGGTGGACCTGTCCGGGGTGCATCATGACTTGTGCCTGTAGCCTGCTGTGACTCCAGCTGTCCTGTGACCCTGTACTAGTACATTATGAAAACTGATGCATGAGTTTCAGCAGGTTTTACAGGTTTTAGAAGCTGCTGATATGTTTCTGGCAGCAGTTTGTTATGTGTGTGCATTGTGTAGCAGTGAGTCAGAACAAGGAAGAATTTCACTCAGGCAGATCTCTCTGCACATGTGCGGTGCCCTCTGACCCCGGGTACAGGAATGAGAGGCGGGTAAGATGAACTGGAACACCTTGTACACAGAGGTGTAGGTTCTCCTGTACAGCATAGGACCGTACTGAGGAAACTGGAACTGGAGTCTGGGCACTCAGGGCAGCTGACTCAGTGCCTGAATCCTGGGTTCGAGTTTGCATATTCACCTCATAATGAAATAGGCTTTTCCTCAGTGCCCTGGTTTCTTCCCAGAGTCCAGAAACGAGCTGTCTGGGATAATTAAGTTCTACAATATAATCCTGCTGTGTTTGTGTGTCTGTGTGTGTGAGTGTGTGTGCATGCCTTTATCTGTGTCTGTGTCTCTTTGTGTGTGTTTCTGTGGGCATCTGAGTGTGTCTGTGTCTGAGTGTTTTTGAGTCTGTGTGTGTCTCTGTCTGATTGTATGTGTACATCTTTGTATTTGTGTGTATGTCTGTTTGTGAGTGTGTGTGTTTGTGTGTCTCTGTGTGTCTGTGTCTGTGTCTGAACTCAACTCTATGTGAGTGTGTGTTTGTGAGTGTTTGTGTCTGTGTGTACAGTATCTGTGCATGGGTGTATCTGAGTTTGTGTTTGTGTGTGTCTATGTATGAGTGTGTGTTTGTGTATGTGTGTTTGAGTCTGTGAGTCCAAGTGTGCTTTCTGAGTGTGTGTGAGTTTGTGTGTATCTTTGTGTGTGTGTTTGTGAGTGTGTGTCTCTGTGTGAGTGTGTGTGTTTGAGTCTGTGTGAGTGTGTGTGCTCACCCTGCAATGGACTGGTGTCCTGTGTCCTGTCTTGTCTGCTGAGCTACTCTCTGACTCACCTGTAAGGGACTCCTTACTGAAAGTGGATGGATGGACAAAACATTGAAAAGATCAAGTTCAGCTCATCAGAAACATGTAGTGCAGAGTTTTGTTTTGAAACATTTTAGAGCAGCAGGGAACTGATGAAATCACAGAGGTGCCTAATAAATTAGTTTACTACAGATGTACGTGTGGAAAGATGATAATAAGTATTTGCAGAGTGTGTTTTTCATTATGAAGCGTACCACAGATTTCAACTTCTTACAATCATCATCCAGCACAAACAGCCATGAATTCAAGACTGCTGTAAACCAGACTCTCCCATGACTGGGTTCAGGACCCCAGACACTTAAAGAGCCTTTAATTGACAAAGCTCAGTCAAAATGAAAAGCGAGAGTCACTTAAAGGAAACGAGACATCTCTGTCTGACAATCTCTCTTCTACTATTGCGCCCTGAGTCACTGAATCGGGGGATTTCCCTCTACAAGATTTCATAATGTTTCAGTTCGTACTGAAAATAGAAAACCGCTCTGTTTCTCCACAGAAGCAGCTGGGGGCGACACAGAGACAAACCCAGCAGAGACTCCAGGAGAGGGAGAAGGAGCTGCAGGAGCTGAGACAGGCTGTGGACTCACTCAGAGTGGGTATTGACCAGAGGAGAGGACACACTGACACACATTTCCACAGCTGGACACTGGACACACCAGTACCCTGAGGAAACACCACACACAGTAGAATGTAGTTTGAGTGTTGTCCTGTGTGATAATCAACTGTGTGTCTCCTCACTCAGAGCTCTGCACACACTGCAGTACAGGACACTGACAGGATCTTCACTGAGCTGATCCGCTCCATTGAGAGAACACGCTCTGAGCTCACACAGCTGATCAGAGCTCAAGAGAGGGCTGCAGTGAGTCAGGCTGAAGGACTCCTGGAGCGACTGGACTCCTGGAGCGACAGAAGATCGCTGAGCTGAGGAGGAGAGACGCTGAGCTGAGCCAGCTCTCACACACAGAGGATCACATCCATTTCCTCCAGGTAACAGCACTGCTCTGGGACTCTCTGCAGTCCAGAAGGGAGTCTCTCACACAGAGCTCTCCAATGGAGCTGCTCCTGGCTTCTCCCCAGGAAAGTGTGCTGGAGCCCAGTGTGTTTGACTGGAAACTCCTCTCTATCCTCCCTGCTGCAGAATTTCCAGTCTGTCTGTGTCCCTCCTGGAGCTGGAGACTCAACCAGCATCCCTGTCGGACCCCACTTCTCTCCTGAGGCTGTGAGGAGAGCTGTCTCTGGACTGAAAGAGCAACTGGAGAACTTCTGCAAGGAGGAATCAGTCAAGATCTCCAGGACAGGTTAGAGGAGAAATACACTGGCATCTTTCTAGAGATCAGCTGACTTCACTGTTTTCCCAGGTGCTCATTACAAAGCCCGTTTGTCTGTACTGACTTGGGCCCTGTTGATCATGTTCAAGGTGCTCAGTCCCTCTCAGTAAGAGTGAAAGAATCCTGTTGTGACCTGGATTCATTCACATGGTTTAATCTGGGTGTCTGTCTGTCTCTGTCTCCACAGTCAGTGAAGTCTACAGTCTGCAGACTCCAGAGCACAGGACCAGAGCAAAGCTTTTACACTGTGAGTGTTTTTTCACTATAACTGTCCACACTGAGGACATCAGAGCACAGAGGAGAGAAGCACACGCTCACTGACACATTCATTCACAATCCTTTTACCAATACAAATACAAACTATTACAATACACTTCCATACTGCGAATCATAGAGACAAACATATAGCCAAAGATCCAGATACACAAATCCAGGAATACGGCAAATAAGGGCCTCTCTTTCTCTTTAATTGAACTGATAGCAGTGTGAATGGAGATTGACAAAAATAAATGTTCTTATTACATATACTGTACATTCTTCATTCAGACCTATGCATACTGTCCATCTTTACTGGGCTGTGGGGGTGGAACTAGTGGAGATCTGCTCAGGGATTGGTCTGTTCTGCCTGTCTTTCCTCTGACTGTCCTCTTCTCTCCAATCAGATGCCTGTCGGCTCACACTGGACCCCAACACAGCGCACAGACACCTGCGTCTGTCTAAGGGGAACAGGAGGGTGACCTGGAGCAGGGAGCCCCAGCAGTACCCCGATCACCCCGAGAGATTTGATTCAGAATTCCAGGTGCTGTGCAGGATGGGGGTTTCTGGGACTCGCTGTTACTGGGAGGTGGAGTGGAGTGGGGGATGGGTTTATATAGGGGTCACATATAAAGGACTCAGCAGGAAAGGGGAGGGCGTTGACTGTCATCTTGGACACAATGTCAAGTCCTGGAGTTTGTGCTGCTCTGGTTCCAGTTGGTCTTTCAGGCACAACAATGAAGAAACTGCAGTACCTGTCCTTAACTCCTCCAGAATAGGGGTGTATGTGGATCACAGGGCTGGAACTCTGGAATTTTATAGCGTCTCTGGAGACACAGTGACCCTCCTGTACAGAGTCCAGACCTCCTTCACGGAGCCCCTCTACCCCGGGTTCAGGTTTGGAAATCGAGGAGACAGTGTGACCCTGTCCCACCTGCAAGTCTCTTTTGTCCTGGGTGAGAAACAAGAGCTCCAGCAGTTCAGTCTGTTTTCATCACTCAGGGGAATGAAATGTGATTCCACTCTGTCACTTGACTCCAAACCCACAGCTCACAGAGTGATTTATATCCCACCCCCTAAGATTTCAATTGAGGAGCCCAAATGAACAGTTGTGTCCAAATTAACCCCTTCCTCTCATGAAGTGTCCAGTCGGTCAGCAGTCAGTCCCTGTCCCACTGGACTTTAGATGGTCTGACAGGGAGCAGGTACAGGAGACAGGTAACATGCTTTCTAAGACCATGGCTCTGAGTACTAGTGCCCCCTATACAAACCCCTACACTCTCTCACCTCGGAGACACAGAGACCCCCTCCCTCTCTCACCTGGGGGACAGAGACCCCCTCCCTCTCTCACCTGGGGGACACAGAGACCCCTTGCTCTCACCTGGGACACAGAGACCCCCTCACTCTCTCACCTGGGGGACACAGAGACCCCCTCACCCCCTCACTCTCTCACCTGGGGGACAGAGACCCCTCTTCAGAAATAGGAATGAAGAATGATCTCAGCCCGTCTGTCCCTCAGCAGGGAGCTGATGTTTCCGCCCAGGTCTCTGCTTGTGTTCCTGCTGCCTCGGAAACAGACTCTGCCTTGAGCACGTCAGGGTTAAACTGGGGAGAGGGCTCCGTGCGCACAGACCCATGAACCAGAGGTCCAACCCAGGACCGACCCCACTTGTACAACACGGCTCCGAGCTGGAGCAGGCAGACTGGAGCGGGCTGGAGGATCACTGGGGCTCTGTTCCAGCTCGGACCAACACAGCCCCTTCATCTCGTCTCAGAGCCACAGATGACCAGGGGCAGAAAACCAGCTCGTCAGGCCGGCCATTACACACTTTTAATTATTGAGCCTTCAAGGTGGAAGCCACAAGGCTGTGCACCTGAAGCTGAGAGAAGTTTAAAAGTCACACTTCCTTCGTTATTTACAGTGAAGTCACTTTGCCAAGCGAGATGTGCGACGTCGACAGGCCCTGGTAGAGGGTTCGAGCAGCTTTCACTGGTGCTCTGTCGATGTTAGACTGCATTAGGATAAAACAGAACTGAACAGGACATGTCCTCCAGTCTCCCCGGTATACGAGAGGACAGATCTGCTGAAGGCTCTCTCTCACCTCGCTGGCTGTGTCCCAGGCATATTGCAGTGATACTCAGAAGTGTTTGGGAAGAATATGCTGGAACCCCAGAGTCTGAACTGGCGCTCCTGTGGTCCAGAGACAACTCTCAGGCTAACCAAGGAAGATCAAGCAGCACTGATGTTCAGAATGGCTGTGGCCTGTTTCAAGAGTGGGCTCGATGGCATGATCTCCACCAGGGCAGCGGAGAGGGACAGACACTCACCTTTCTTGGCTGTTTTGAAAAACAGATCCCTGATTGCTTTGCAAACCCAGCCATTCTGCGGTCACTTCATCATCGATTCCAGCTCAGCTCCAATCTCCACAAGACTGGAGCTGTTGGTTCTTCGTCTGGACGCTGTTTATTTCTCTCTCTTTTTTTGGTGTTTTTCAGAATTTAGTATTGTTTTGTTATGTTTCTTAGTTATTGTTGGTCTTGTTAAAGTGTTCAAAATTCCTTAAATAAAATACTTCAAAGAAACTAGAAAAGTGGGCCCTTCTGTACAAGCCATGGTGTTGAAACCGATATACTGGCTTCTCTCCAGACACAGCTGGGTGAGCTCCTCCAGTCAGGACAGGAGGCTCTACTGTACACAGAGGGCGGTGGGTGTGGGGAACAAGCTGCCCAGCCCTGTTGTTGAAGCTGATACCCTGGCTTCTCTCCAGACACAGCTGGGTGAGCTCCTCCAGTCAGGACAGGAGGCTCTACTGTACACAGAGAGGGGTGGGAGGGGGGAACAAGCTGCCCAGCCATGGTGTTGGAAGTCGATTCCCTGGCTTCTCTCCGGACACTGATGGTAGAAGCAAAATCCCTTTTATTCAACCTGTGTTTCAGTACAGCAAACAACCCATCCATTGCCTTAGCTTATAGTGGGCTCTGTGACATTTCCAGTCCTGTCCAGGTGAGATCTCTTTTTAATAAAAGAAGAATTAAACTGAAAGTGATTAAGAACAAACTGTGAATCGCCATGCTTTAATGACAGGACAGACGAGGCAAAGGGAAGGTTTTTCTGTGGTGCAGATGACAGTTCGTTCTCAAGAAACAAGCACACTGAATAAAAATATTAAACAGAGACAGAAAAGGCCATTTTAGTCACCTAAAATAAAAATGTAAGTGATACTTTGCGCATCATCCTCGGTTCAGTCCGGTGTGGCCGCCGGGAGGGGGCGCACCCCCGAGATGTGCGACAGGAGCCTGCAGGGCCCGACCGTCACCCGAGCGGTCATTGGCTGAGCAGCCGGCGGGGGCGGGGAGAGGGCCGAGCAGCCAATCGCCGTGCAGGTGACTGTCGGGGCGTATGTCGTCATCTTCCTGAGCCGAGGTTCGCCAGCTGTTTGCGCGCAGGGCTGCGGCGGTGCAGGCGATCAGGGGGGCTGGTGTTGTCTTTAATGCAGCGAGAGAGCCAGCAGCAGGGACCGAGGATCGAGTTCGGAGCTCTTGTGTGTCATGGTTGTATTAACGGTATTTTTATTGCGGTCTCACTTTGAGAA